CATGAGCGGCAACCAAAATTTACCTTGAGCCTGAAACAATTGCAGTGCGGTACCCTATCGGCACAGGTAAAAGAAACTAATTTAGTTGCGATACTATATGCACTTGCTTGTTGAGTCAAAAGAACAGGAAATAATGCAGGAATATTGCAAGCACCTGAATGGGGAGGGAAGACAGAGGTGAGCCTTCCCCTCCAGCCACCGCCTCTTATGCGTAGGGCTCATGCACAAAGTAAAGCAGAACTTGCAAATCTTAGCTGTCCTGCATCAGTCTGATCTGCTTCATTGCCTTTCCCCACTGAGAGGAAGAGAAAGTAATGTGTATGTCATCCTTTCCTGCAGTGGCTAAATGTTACCTATCAGAAGTTTCAGGCAACTTTTTCCACTTAACGCGATGTTCAATCAGCAGATTCTTCTTATCCATCACTTGACACTGCTCATGCTAAAGCATATGTTTCTATTTCTGATGTTACTCACATAACACGTGGCACTAAATACTTTCTGAATGTGCTCTGCAAGAGACCAAATATCACAGCACTCATGAAAACAATTTATAGTTTCATTATATACTCTGACAAGAATACTTTGTCATTATGGGCTCTTGTACAAAGCAAGAGCATCAGCACTTCCATACTGTTCAAGTCAGTGCTGTTCTTTGGGACAAAAATCATTACTCATATGTACTACTTGCTTGGAATTGACTTTGTTAACCTCAATTTCAAGTCAATGAGAAAGGGAAAAGAGAGTTTGGTATATTAGTACAGTCAACATTTCCCCAAAATGGTAAATGTTTAGTTGCAAAAAAGTGGGAAGGGAATGAGAAAAGCAGTGCCAAGAAGGATTTGAACTTACAAAAAGGACACTTCCACCTTGGATTCATTTTATTTCTGGCAACACTGAAGTTGAAATCCTGCCATAAATTTTCTGGATTCTGATGCCTTGGCATCAACTTTACAAAGACAACCTATGTACTTATGTCCTTACTGATACCTTACACAAATGTCAAGTCCCCTGATAAAGCACTGAAAGGTATCAGAAGCTAAACTTTAATATTGTCTGCAAGTTATTACAGTGACATGGTAAACCTGCTTCAAACTTGATAAAATAATTCCTTACCTTACAGTGAAATATTTGCCTCTAACAATCTCTCTTCTTTTTTCCAGTTTCATCTTATGTCTTAGTCAATTCCAAAATACGCCTTCACTAAATTGTTTTTAAATACTAACAATCTGATACAGTAATTGCAAATAAAAACGAGTAAAAGCAAACCTCACAATCACTTTAAAAAACCCAACAGCCAAACGCCTGAACCAAGTAGCCTGTACTGTTCCTTTAACCACCAGGAAGAACGAAGCTGGCCCATCCAGCCAACGGCTACCTGGAGCAGAACAGCCTATACAATGTACACAATGGGAGGGGAGCAAAGCTAAACATCTCGCCTTAGGACACCCACACCACCAGCAGGTGCCTCCGAGCCCTGCCACGAGTGCTGGTATATGAAACAGTGTACGAGAGAGTTGGAAGCTAACTGGAGCATGTAGATAAGACTATAAAAAATAATACTTATCAGGCAGGAAATGCAGACCTAGTGCTAAACAAATCTTGCTTCTGCCATGAGTCACAGCTCTCCACAAAGGATACACTCAAAGCATAAAAGGCAGCTTCACCTTTCACAGCAGCACTGGAGGGGGCAAGGCAATTCTCCATTATCTATTAGGTTGAGGATAATGAACCATAAACAGATTGTGGGGACAGTTGTGTTCAGGGTCTAAATGAAAAGGTATAATGATCTCCTCCTTGTTTAAAGTATATTTTGACTTGATGAATTATATACTGATGATGTGCCATACGGAAGGAAGGGACTTGGCATCTCTCATCAATGTACTGTTTGGATTTTACTATAAAAATGACCACCTAGAAGACTTTTCGAAGCCATTGTTACCTTTTGCATATATTGACTTTACCAAATAAATGGGATAAAAATAGTAATAATGTATAGTAATTTGTTTCCATGGCCTTATGGTACAAGAAACAATAAAGCCACAGCATTTCTGTGGAATTTGATTATTTGACAGAGCTATGTTTCCAATTCCCATTACTATTTTTGAAGGAAAACCAAATTATACAAAGAGAGACCTCAAAGAGGTTATTCAGTATATATGCTTCTGAATGTTAAAAAAAAAGTACTAATAATGGCCATAAACTGACCTAACAACTGTACACCAGAAATGGATTCTACTCAGGGAAACAGCTGAGTCCCACCAACAACTTCCCATATATGGACAAATAAATGCAGCAAAATTGGTATGTTGTCAAAAGAAACATAGGATTTTAACAGTCTTTTTGGAGCAATGCAAGCAATAAGGACAATTTTCTGATCTAGTCTGAAAAAAGCATTCAATAGATGCTTCTGGCATTCATATAGAGATTTCTTCCTCTGCAATTGAAGGAAAGCCTACGTCTCACCTACTGTCTATCAGTGAGACAAACAAGTGAATTCTGTTATGCACCATAGTTACTACAAAATATTCTTATTGTCTTTTGTTTCTTTTTAATTGATGTTCCAAAATAATCTTTTAGTTTAAAAAACAAAGTTAACCAAGAACCAGCTGCTATACTTTCAATGTAAAAGCTACAACGTACAACTTTTCATATCTGTCTAGTGACTTTTATCTACCAATTCGCTGTTATCTGCAATAAAGCAAATTATAATTGCTACAAGGAAGATCATAATAATTAAAGGAATATATATGACATCCTACATTACTGCCTGAACTGCTTTACAGCCAGATAACTACTTTAGTGAAATTGAGTAAAGAGAGACTGACATTACAGGAGATGTCACTGCTCCAAGGTGACCCTCTAACATTGAACACTTACTATTTGTCCACTGCTATTTTTAGTGACAAATCTGGACAGATCTCATTAATGACGCCATAGACATGGTCTAATAATCTGATGAAGCTGGGACACTGTCAAGGTTTTAGACTTTCTTTTTTAAAACCAACAAACACACCGAATGTGTGATCACAAAATAATTTCTTTTAAATTTGTACAAATTACTGGCCTATACTTGGGTATTTAATGGCAATTAGTGCCAAGAAGGAAAATACCTCATTTTCTGAGGGTAAAAGTAGAGATACTATCTCCAAAACTGTGCTTTGGAATCACTGTGGATCACGTTCTGTGTTGTCTCAACACTCCAGGACCTAGTGTCCTCCCAAATGCCAATGGGCCACCACACTGTATGTGGGCCTGGAAACCTATCGTCCACCATGCTCTCAGAGAAACCATGAACTCTACCCACCATCTTTTGGACAAGAGATCCAACTGCTACTTAACTGCCTGAAGTTTTATCAAATTTCTCCTCACTGTACTCTTGGAGGCAATTTTATTGTGGAAATGACAAACTGGAGTCCCAAAATGCATTGTAATGTCACTATTTGGGATGTTTGTTGACTGTGTTTCAGTAATGTTGCTCCCCTTGACTTCAGATTAAACTGTTCAACTTATCTGAAAGAGTCAAGCACTCAAACCCAGAGAAATACACAATTACTGGCCATTTGCCTGCTTTTTCATCTCGTGTCCTCATCTCTGATAAAACCTGAGACAATGCAGCGTCCTTGGTTTTATCCCACAACATCAACTCTGCTTTTCCTGCTGCCCAGCACTTGCTTCACTAGCTACCTCCTGACTGCTGACACACAAAGCAGGCTGGTATCATTCGCTGATGATGTAAGTGATACAAGCAGCTCCCCAGAACACCATGTCTTGTCTTGACAACAATATTACACTACATCACCTTCACTGGTCATTTAGGAATTACCATCATTTGATTTATTAGTCAAAATAACACTATTTTGCAACGTGGCCCAGCCTTTAGAAGTTTTGTATGCTGTGCATCGGATTACATTATTAATTTCTCCGTGTTTGTTACTCAGCATCCCTGTGGATATATTAGTCCAACCTGGAACATGGAAACATGAGAAGCAAACACTTGTTTTGTTGCCCGAAAGCCCAGCATGCAGGTCTCCATAGCACCTCTCCCATAGCTCCCGAGAACTTTGGAGAGCAGTAAGTCACAGTGCCAGCTCTTTTAGCGTTTCCACTTCCTTTTCCAAATGACCAAGCCATTACGATGCCAACTCAATCACCTAGGGACTTCAGAGCATCCGCTCCACTTTGTTCTTCCCTACAGCCACTGGCATTTGCCCGCATTTAGAAAAGCTCTGAAATTAGTGTCTCCAGAGCCTGTCAGGTCCCTTCATATGGGTTTGGTGAATTACATTTTATGCTCTGTTTGAAAAGGCAACACGACAGAAAGTTAGAGAGATATTATAAACATGAAAATCCCACTTATTTTCCTTCCTCTTCTCTCTTGTCCACATAAAAAAATTTGTGCAACCAATGGGAAAGGTATGCTCTGCCAATTAAAAGCAAGTTAGGTTTCTCACTCTTATTCAGAATTCATGTCTGGAACATTTAGCTATTTCAACTAGAACTACTGCTCAATAGGTGTGCGTTTGATAAATAATTCCCCAAAACGCTTTCTCCAAGTTTTAAGTTGCCAATTACTAGGCAAGGGAGCTAGAGAGCACAAGCGTATCACTTCCCTCTGTGGTGCCAAAGACCATACACAGCTCCTAATCAAGAAATAGCCTCTTGAGAATAACAAATTAAATAGAGACTAAATTTCTGCAAACTAATTTTAGAAGGCACAGTCACATATGAGTAGCTGTAAATAGCATACAGTAAATGCTCTAATGTGTGGGAGATGACAAGGAAAAGAAGCATTTTGACATTGGATTTAATTCTAGAAGTTGGCAAATCCGAGGGAGAAGCTAGCAGAAAGGACAGAGGACAACCACTCTAGTCTTATGGGTTTCCTAGGAAACCTTTCTTGCTTCCAGTGGGAAACACCGCCAAAAGCACACATTCTCCGAGCAGTATTAAATTAGGACTAGTGCCAACTCTCAATGAAGTGAATGGAAGCACACTCACTGACATCAGCAGAAAGGAGACGGAACTTGTAGAAGTCAGCTCTCTAAAGCAAGGACAGAGGTGGTCTTGCAGATTATGTATAAGTGCTTTTTCCCTACCACACACGATCTCCCAGTACTGTTCAATTCATCCCACCACCCCAAGATCATGCTACCACCTACTCCTCTCTCCATCACTGATTCTGTCATCATCCTTAGATCAAATGATTCCAAGAAAGATTACATGGAATTCAGGCAAAAACTGAAATCACACCCTTCTCCACAGCAGAACATACAGAGTTGGAAGCTTCTACACCCTTTCAAAAAGAAGGCCCCAACTGCCCTTGAACAAAGTTCATATGTCATGTTTTTCATTCATATCCATGGGATTTAGTTATGTTTCATCTCCCTTACAGAGACAGGAAAACTGAGCCACTAAGGAGTTGACTCACATGAGTTTGTGTAAGTCAACAGCTTAGCATATCCATAAACATGGCTCTCAGGCTGAGAAGTAAGTATGGACATTTAAAACCACTTAAAAGCAAACAAACAGAACTCTGCAATCAAGATTTTGGTGACCAAAATTATTTTCCAAGAATTCTATTCTCTTCAGTGAAGACTACAGTATAACCACCTTTCTGTGATTGCTTTCTAGCAGTGCACTCAGCAAAGCAAGTAGTGACTGTCACACTTTCCTCTTTTCGTCCTCTTCCACGTGGGAGAGGTATTTTGTTTGCATCAAGGATTTTTCTTTTTTAAAAATAAGAGACATTCAAAGGCATGTTCAAAGGAATGGGCCGTACTCTTGGGATAGTATTTTGAGATTTATGAAGAGCATTTGTTTCTGGAGGACTTAGGCCACCATCTCAGTCCAGCCAGCAAGAAAGTTCTTGCTATGGCTCAGTTTCATTTGTGCCAAACAAGCAGTTATTGACCAGTTCTTCATCCTACAGCTTTACACAGGCTTTTAAACATCCTAAACACGGGTCATTCAGTGAGGTAAATGTTAGACAAAAACCCAGAATCCAAGCAAAAATTATGTGGCAACCCAACAGAATACTTTACCTTTTATATGTATTCATCCACCATCAATACTTGAACTCAGCTAAAGAACAGGCAAAATTTATGTGGATTCTTATTCTTGAAGCTTGTTCTTTTGCATTCAGTTTGCGAGATTATCAATGGAAATAATTACTCTTTCTGCTCCTTCAGTATTTGCTAAGTTGGCTTTGTCCCAGTATTCCTTCCTACGTTACCCTATTCAGAGTTAGTTTAAAGAATGTTCAAGGTACATGTGGTGCAAAGATTGTTCAGAGTACTAGGTGCACACTAGGCCTGAAATGCACGTGGCTGTAAAATAAGTGGAAAAATACATAAACATGGAGGCAAAAGAACTGGCAAGAAGCTAGTGATGAGCATAATAAAAGCAGAGAAAGATATATGAAAGGGTACAGAGCAAAAGGCACTGAAATGGAACAAAAGTCAAAAGGAAAAAAAAAAAGTAAATACAGAAAAAGACTGGAACACACCAAAAAAACCAAGCATTCTTTTTATCTAATGAAGAATGAAAAGTCAAACTACAAAAATACACAGCTGTGTGTACAAGTGTTTGTGTATGTATATATAAGGGCCAAAAATACATCCTACCACTTTTCTTAACCTGCAATACCAGACTTTTAAAAATATTACAGTTGCTTTGACGAGTATTTCAATTACTCCTAGCTTTCAAATTTGGAGGACTGAGATGGTGGAAATGAAAAAGAACGTGACGACGGATCTGAACCCACCAGTTTCTGGTCTTTTATACCAAGATTTTGAGCCCCATTCTATGTTTTAACTGTCCAGCATCAGCAATGTGAGAGAGTTCATTTAGAGCTACCATGTCTTTTCCTGCCTGGGTTATATTATTTTTGAAAGCACTTCAAGATGTTTATGAAATGCATATGAACAAAACTTAAATTACTTAGCATTAAGCTAAGAGGCCTGGAGAAGATCTGTACCATTGAGGGATACAGTAAACTGGAAAAACTTATTACAAGTTACTTCAGAAGCTAAAGCCACTTTCTCACAGACCCATCAGGACGTTGGAGTTAATGGGTAAATCACACGAAGTTAATCACAACAGCCAAAGGAAGAGGAAGGCAAAAGAGGGAAGTCTACACCCTGACAGCTACAGACTTCATGCAGAAAAACAGGCTGTAAGCCTGCTGTGGGAACAGAGAGAAAGGAAGCAAAAAAAGGAATATAAATCACTAGGCCTCCAATTGTTCCTGAAAAAAAGAAATTATATGTATGCTTAAGTATTTGCAAGAATGTAGCTTAGCACAGTCATTAAACTTCGCTACAATCAAGAAGCCCCTAAACCACAAATAAATGTTCAATTTCAGGATTGAGTTTTTAAGTTAAATCATATCGAAAGTAAAAAAGTTCCAAAGTAGTTCTAAATGACATTTTAAAGCCAAAAATAGGGACATTTCCTTTAAAAACACCTCGTGAATTCTCTCTCTCTCTCTCTCACCCTTCCCTCCCATGTGACACCACACCCGCCCCCAAATAAAACTCCATTTGGGAAATGAGATGTCAGATGCAACACTGCATGGTCAGGATACTACTAAAAGTACACTTTTCATTTTCTTCTGGATTATTTTGTGTGTTTTCAAGCACTGTGTGCATAGGTAGACTCCAATTCTGGATGTACTGTATTAGCAGAGATCTGGGCCCACACAAACTCCCACTGAAATCACTGGGAGAAGTGACAGGTTCGTGCATCTTTTTGACAGGTCCATGCATCTTTTTGACAGGTCAGGGCCTTAAGCCATGGTCACACAACATAACAGAGGCAAAGCCCTCCTGGAATCAGAGGAATTCACCTGTGTGCATCGTACTCTAGCACAGCAGACTCAGTTTGATCTAGGCCCATGCCATTTGCACAGCATTTTTGTTTGCTAGCTGTAAACATAAAAATACTATTTTTATAGTTATGCAAAATTAATGCAATGCAAAATGCAATGCAAAAATCAGCACACGAACCTACTTCAAACTTCATGGTTCTGCCTACTAAACAGACTTGACTTTGGTGATATTACTTTAAATTATATGGATCTCAAGTTGGTTTGAGTTTGGTAACTTATCCCACATGAAAATGTGTACCTGTAAACACTGTGGATCTTTTAATGTGGACATAGTAGATAATAACATTTTCTACTCTTGTATTCTCAAAATCCTCCACCTGTTGAAGCTCATGGCCACTGCGGTATTACAGATTTTTCTCCCATTTCATAAACGGCACCATGGGTCTCAAAACCCTTTCATCTGTGATTCAAGCGAAGTAAGAAAACAAAGCATACGCCAGAGGAGCGAACTCACAGCGGCAAACCGCCACCCGCCCTGGCTGCCATAGCAGGGCTGGGCTGCTGCGGGACCTCCCTCTGCGCCGGCAGCAGTGCGAGGCCCGAGGCCTCAGCCCCACGGGCCATCGCCACAGGTGAATCCCTGGCAATTTCACACCAACAGCAGGCTCAGCGCCTAAACCCCTGTTTTCTGGCAGCCACACGGCAGTTAATACACGCGAGAGGTTCGCAGACACTCGTCCCCGGTGTTGAGCCGCCGCGCAGGGGTGGGGGCCGGCAGCCTGAGGGCGGTTCGTGGCACGGCTGTGCCACACGGCAGACGTGGCCGCACAGCTCAGCCTTGCCAGGC